GGAAAGCCTTAGGTGCAATAACGATGACAGTTCTAGCATTCTGAATGCGAAGCTAGTCTGCTTCCAGGAGTCCCGAGACCAAAATGACGGGCACACTCCTTCCTTGCCGTCTGTCCTGCTCATATCCTTCCTCCTCCAGCTAGGGAGATCTTTGGGGTGAGGGGAGGCTGCAGAAAGCTTTGCAACTGCTGAGGTGGAAGGACCCTCTCCTGCAGTCTTCTGCTCCCTTGGGAAAACAGATTGCCTGCAGCCTTAGAAGCGTTAAATATAAAGTTTGGCATGAGAGAAAGTCGCTGGATTCATACATTCCTTTGGGACTTCGAGATTTCTCTCACTGTTGGGTGTTTGTGGCCTTAGAGGGGCAAGATCATTAGGCAAGAACCCTGATGGAGAAAGCCACCTGCCTAGATCCTGGAACCCTATCTTCTGCCTTGGCCACCCATATGTCATTGGGAGTTTAACACCTGTTAGGTATTGTAAAATAGAAAATGAATGAACCTAGCATCAATAAAATAAACTAACATCCACATCAAACATCCACGTCAAAAGACATTCTAAGGAAATTTAAAGCACCCTAAGAGTGAGACAGAATAACAGAAGCCTGTTGGAGGGATATAATCTTAGGAAATTGGATGAGTGGTTTTGTCATAAGAACAGTGCCATTTTTACATTGGTTAAACAGCTGGAGCCAGGGACCCAGAACCTCTTGGAGTTCACTGAAGTGGGTGTAGGTAGGAGTAGTCTGTCAAGGAAATGCCCTTCAATCTTAGGCGCATGAGCTAAAATCATCAATTTGTGATTTATTCAATTGACTCATTATTTGATGAAATCGGCTAAAGTTGGCAGAGCCGGTTCTGGACCAGGGCCTTGTACATTCCCTCCAAAGAAATTATTTTCCTTGAACAAGGCTCTCAGTTAATGGGGCTAAAATTAATCTCCCTTGCCCCCATGCATTGCATCCCCCTATTGCTCTGAGTGCAATGGAACTGAGGCTCTGGATGAGCAGTGTTGTGAAAGTTCACCTGCTGAATGTTAGCAGAGTGTGAGAGAAGAGGATGTGTTGTGTATTAGGAAGCTTGGTAGTCTTCAAAAAAGGGAGTGCAAATGATGGGGAAGACCCTGCGGCTCCATCCCCAGGGTCTAGCTGAGAGCACCGATGAGGCTTTTCCTGGCTTTCTAACACAACTGTATTTTACTTTGCATTCAAGCAGGATGGGCTGGGCTACAGAGTCCGATTGTACAGAGCAAAATAAAAGTTCACTACAGCTGGTCTAGTTTGGAAGTGGGTCGTTTTGAGCTTTAGTAGAGTGGACAATAGATTGTGATGCCAGCAGCTTCCTAACAGACCACCCAGCACAAGGCATTCAGCACCCTGGAGAGCTCCACACATAGGGACGTTTTTGGGTTCACCACCCTGGACCCCATCTCAAGAGCTGTGGGATTCATTTTCCCGAACAATGGGAATACTTCCCGGACAAAGCATGTAAGGTTTACCCCGTCCGTCTCAGAGAAACTCTCATGACACGTGTGTTCAGCAAAGCAGTTTACTCAAGCATAATGTAAGTAGTTACAGACAAAGCCAGGGTTGGCTTGGCATAGCTTACATGGTATTTTATAGCTTCCCCGTTCCCGCGCTTTACCCATTGCTCAGTTACAGACTACCCGCAGTAATCCCCCCTCACCCCAATGGCAGATTCAGTCCAGTGCTTTTGTCTTTCTGATTGCCGTCTATGGGTTGTGCGGTTGTTGCCTTTGTTGGGCTTGCCTGCTTGCGCGCAAAGCCGGGAGTTCCCGATCACTCGCTGATCGCTTCGCTTCCGAGCCTCTGCGCTCCCCTTTGTCTGCAGCGCCCGAGGGGAGCCGCGCTGATACAAAGTATCCGCTTGCGGTTGAGTTAAGCGCCGCCCCCGTCCGTCATCAGTCGCGGTTTCACTTCCCCTTTTCCTCGGCTAGCGCCCGGGCGGTGAAATTGACTAGGCGAAGCTGAGCGGTGCCTTCGCCATGCTGGGCCGGCTGAATCTGACACCCCTCACCTCACCAGGATTTGACAGGAGTGGAACGGAGCCAAAAGGAGCCAGGGCCACCAATGCGTTCGCCCTGCCGTTCCATGCCGGCTGAATCTGACACCTGGAGCAGATGCCTGTGTTAATGTTAGAAGCCTCCAAGTGCACCTTTGTTCAGGTGCACATTTCCAGGCAAGGAATCGTAGCTCTATGTATGGCCTCCAGCCCCTAGTTCACCCGCCCCCCCAGGTTGCCTTGATATTGTCTTGCGCTCTAGTTCTTTCTTTTCTCATGTGGTTGTAAATCTTAATACATTGTGTTGTTTTGATACAGTGATATGTATTAATTGAAGCTTCTTATTGTTTAAATAAGTTAGACCACTGAGGATATAGCTCTTTCTTTAAAACATCCTAGTAATTTGTATTATCGTTATGGGGGAAAGCCATGAGGACCAGAACCAGCCATTTCCTTTGCTGCTGAGTCTTCAGTAAACTGCTGGTACATTTCTGCTTTATTCCCTTTCCATGCCTTCAGCTTCCTCAGAATGGCGAGGGACATCCAGGACAACAGTAAATTCTCTTTTTTTCCTTCTTGATTCTGTGTAACTTCATTGAAGTTCTCCATGGCCAGATGGCTGGATGTTGCCATCCCGTCATTATGAAAGCAAAAGATTTGGGGGGCACCAGACCAAATGGCCGAAAAGTGAGTTTGGTGTTGTGGTTAAGGTGAACTAGAAACCTGCTCATGAAAACTGGATGGGTGACTTGGAGCCAGTCATTCTCTCAGCCCAACTCACCCCATAGGGTTATTGTTGTAGGGGAAACAGGAAGCAGGAGCATTACGCACATCACTTTGAGCTGTATAAAAATAAAGGCTGGATAATAAATCAATAAATGCATGTAGTCAGAAATGTTTTTTCCAGCTCATGTGCTGCAGTGGGTCAAATTAAGTACAGTACCTTGATTATCTTGGGCTCAATTCTGAAGGGAGATATGAAATGAATTTTGTGTCACTTGGTAGCAAGGGGAAAGCACAAAGTTCTACTACTTTAAAAAAATGGAGAAATTTATAGTAAGAGATAACCTTTTTGAGGGTATAAAATTTGCCCAGTATCAGGGAAGCAGGTGCAAAACTCTGGCTTCCTTTCAATTTTTTTCAAATGCCTGCAAGATTTTTAATTAGGGGCAGAGTTGCAAAATATTTTACACCCCATTTACTTCTTGTTATGCAGATTTCAGTCAGATAGACATTTGGGGGGAGGGTGAAAGGTTCTGTATTGACAATATCGACAAGCCACCTTTTTTTTAGCCAGGGCACATTTGGGATTTCAAGAGCACGCGTTGGGCACTTACCATTTGGATGCAACAGACTTGCCTGTTCGTAAAACGGCTTCCATTGTGGGTATGTCCAGCCACAGAACATCCATTCACCCAAAGGCAACCTACTCTCTACCAGGGAGATTTTAGTGGGGCCAAAGACATCCTTGTAAATATGATGCTGGACAGCAGTGCATCCCTTTGCACATATCAGCATCCTATTTTTAATTTAAAAACATTCACCGTAAACATTGACAGGGAGTCTGGTGGGCACCAAAAAAGATGCCTGTATCACCTTGTTGCCTAAAAGTGCAGCCACGAATTTTACACCCACCTGTAAAAGGAGCAGCAGCAGCAACAGCTACACTCCAAAATGTTGTCTGGCTCTTTAATTCAAGCTTTGTAGCTCATGGTGTCCTGCAAATCCCTTACACATTACACAGCCTCTGAGAAATGAGTGTCTTCCTCTGTATTAAAGCAGTCTCCCTTGAGTTGAGTTCAATTCCTGATGACTTCATGGACATGGATGTGTTTTTTTCAGCAGCACTACAATTGCCATCATCTTCTTCTGGTCTCCCCCTACAGTGGTTCAGACTGAACTTTTGGAACTTTTAACAGGGTTGACCTGATTTATAGAATATCTTCTCCAAGACAGTTCAAGCTAGACCAATATTTGCCTAATTGTGAGCACCAGGTGAAAACCTTTCCTGACTAGGCTGAAGTGGATTTCTGTAAATTTGTCACTCAACATGTTACAGGAACCCACCTAAAGACCTTCATTCAGCAAGCAGTCCATGCATATTTCCCAATGCAGGGATATTTCTGCAGCCACAATTAGTACACTTTTCCCTTACAGAATTAAATTAAATTGAATCAAATTAAGTTGAATTTGATATTGAATACCAAGTTGTGTAATTTTATCTTGCTACCACAGGATTGTACCTTATTTAACAATGTATCTTGCAGAAAAACAATATACTGCAGGTGGGTTTTTGTTGGGTTAAAAAACTGTGCAAACAAAAGAACCCAAGATTAGCAACTGTTTTTAAAGAATTGTCCCCAACACAAAATAAACAACTATAAATTCTAAAATGCAGATGGTTTATTTTCAATTTGTCATTGTTTCACTGTGCTGAACAAGCTATTTTATCTTCATAGCACATTAAGTATTACAAAAATATGCTACCAACAGGTATGTAAGGATAGACAATGGACAACCATCCCAACCATCAAAAGTATGTACAAACCAAATAACAGTTTATATATCAGTTTTAATAGTTACTTATATTTTTGAAACACCAATTCAAGACACAAATTCTTTACGTTTCAGTTTTTGACAGCAATCTATCTTAAGCAAGGTAAAGAAAGTGTTCAAATATAGATACAACTCAAAAGGCACTCAAAAGTTCTAAATTCCTGAACATGGGATATATATTCCCGCTGAGTTTGATTCCAGTAACTAAAATGCTTTCAAATGCTTGTATTGGTGTACATTTGGCTTCAACAGGATATTTGCTGCAATCCTGAGACATGTTGCTGTGCTGTGTGTATATGCAGACACATGGAACTTCAGTGCCTTTAAAGCTACATAGGATCCAGAATTTCACCCGGTTGGCCCTTCTGACAACCGAGTAGAAGTGTCAGAGAAACCCCAGGGGTCAAAATGCAATTCTCAGCTACAGCCCCTTTTCTCTTTGGGGGTGGACTTGGCCACCTGACTAGCAGAGACTTGCTCAGTCACTTCATGGTTTGGGAGTGCTTTTTTGCTTAAAGTCAAAAAACAAAAAGTAAAAAAGTAAAAACAGATATCCAATAACGAAATGATGGGTCTGAGTTCTGATGTATTAAAAATGCTGAACTGAGGCAGCCAGATTCTACAGAATGACTTTAAAAATACATCCAATGTTTAAAAATATATATTTCTTGAAAACAAAACAAGATATATTATAGAAAGGCTTCAACTCAATAGGAAATATTTACAAGTATAATGAATTAAAAGCAATCCAGAAACAAAGAGATTTCACCAAGGCAATAACTGACCCTTAACAATGAAGGGCTTGGTCAGAAGAACAAATCAAGAGGCCATAAAATAAAAATAGTATGTTACACTTAAGTTAACACGGGCTTTATAGATGTATCATCCTATTCCCTTTAATTAAGCAAGCCCAGTTAATGAACTGTGTTTAAATTCTTTCTGTACTGTCAGGAATCTGGTGGTAATCCTCATATTTATCATTCTCTGGGGCTGAGAATTCGCAGGAAAAAAGAGGTCATCATAAGTAGTTTCAGCTATTCAGATATGCATAGGAATGTATAGACATGAGGTGGAAGTTGCATTTATCTGCTACGGCAGGGGTGGGGAACCTGTGGTTCACAATGTCACAAAACTACAGCTCTCAACATACCTCACTAGTTAGTCACACCAGCTGGAGTTGCTGGGGCTTGTATTCTGACATAGGTAGAATCTCATAGTTTCCCCTCCCCCTTGCTTCAGTATATAAGGCCATTTCGATATTTTTCTTTCAGTGCATCAGGAGCTTCCAAGTTAAAGCAACCATGCAAAGAAGTTTCAAATGTCACTCTCAGCTGTCTAGGTTATCTGACTGTCCATCGTTTTCTTTTCTCTTCTCTGGGGAAGTATACAGGAAGTTGCAACAGATATACAGAGGGAAGACCAGCAGTCTACTGTCCAAATTCATCACTACCTGTTCCTAGAAAGCAAAAAAAAAAAAAAAAAAAAAGCAAGATATCAGACTGAAAATAAAAATGCTTT